AGCGCCAGCGTGGTGGTGAAGGCCCTGTGCGCCGCGGTGCTGTTCCTCTACCTGCTGTCCTTCGCCGTGGACACGGGCTGCCTGGCGGTCACCCCGGGCTACCTCTTCCCGCCCAACTTCTGGATCTGGACCCTGGCCACCCACGGGCTGATGGAACAGCACGTGTGGGATGTGGCCATCAGCCTGGCCACGGTGGTGGTGGCTGGGCGCTTGCTCGAGCCCCTCTGGGGGGCCTTAGAGCTGCTCATCTTCTTCTCCGTGGTGAACGTGTCCGTGGGGCTGCTGGGGGCCTTCGCCTACCTCCTCACCTACATGGCTTCCTTCAACCTGGTGTACCTTTTCACCATCCGCATCCACGGCGCCCTGGGCTTCCTGGGCGGCGTCCTGGTGGCACTGAAGCAAACCATGGGGGACTGTGTGGTCCTGCGGGTGCCCCAGGTGCGCATCAGCGTGGTGCCCATGCTGCTGCTGGCGCTGCTGCTGCTCCTGCGGCTGGCCACGCTGCTCCAGAGCCCCGCGCTGGCCTCCTATGGCTTCGGGCTGCTCTCCAGCTGGGTGTACCTTCGCTTCTACCAGCGCCATAGCCGAGGCCGAGGGGACATGGCTGACCACTTTGCTTTCGCCACCTTCTTCCCGGAGATCCTGCAGCCCGTGGTGGGGCTGTTGGCGAACTTGGTGCACAGCCTCCTGGTGAAGGTGAAGATCTGCCAGAAGACAGTGAAGCGCTACGATGTGGGGGCCCCGTCCTCCATCACCATCAGCCTCCCGGGCACAGACCCTCAGGATGCGGAGCGGAGAAGGTACTGTGGGATCTGGTGAAACCCGGTTGAGCTGGGGGAGTACTTATCAAGTCGCATCCCATCTGTCGGGGTGCCCGGGGTCAGGTGTCGGGGCGGATTCAGAAAGAGGTCGAAGCCGGTTCGCGGCCTTGAGGAACTCAGCACGTAGGTGTCTGGGCTCCGGTAGGCGCTTTGCAGTATTGCCCTTCTCCCCACCGAGGCTGCCTAAAGGTCTCGAGAAACACCCGGTCTCCTTGGTGCTGGGTGAGGGCCAATGGAGGGCCAGGTACGCATCACTCTGGCCTCATCTCAGAATCTTGGAATCCGAGACACGGGTTCTGTGGAAGCCAGAAACGGCCTCTGGTTGGTCTGTGAGAGGGACACAGGAGACCTGGGGTCCTGCAGAGGCACTCTGGGCCACCCCAGTTTCCAGTTGCTGACCCATGGCCTGTTCCTGGGCCTTAATTCAGATCCTGCGCTTCCCTGCCACCTGTTGAGAGGGGAGCTGGAGGTGTCACTAGGCTCCCCCGCCTCCTGCAGGGAGGCCTGTTACCAAACCCAGGGCCTGGCCACGTGACCCAGGCCTGGAGCCTGCCTTTTCATTGTCTGTAAACCAAGCCATCGGCACTGTCAGGCCCAGGCGGGTTACTCAGTGCACCTGGGCCAGGGCAGGACCGATCTTCTAAATCCAGCCCTTTCTCTCCCCGGTCTGCGGCCTCGCCAGAGTGGTCACAGCTCCGTTGCCAACATGATTCTTGGGTATTTTTGAGGCAGTTACTGGAGAAGTGAAATCTGCGCAGGCTCTGCTCCCTCTTTCCGCTTTTGTCAAAGGCTGCTGCTGCTGCTCACCTGTGGCGGGCTGCTGGCAGCTCTGCATTCAGCTGAGGAGCTCGCCCCGTGCTGACCTCCGCTGGGCTGTGGGTTGAGGACGGGATACGTCCCTTTCTTGAAAGTTTCCAGCCGGGCAGTGCCACCGATGACTGTGGTCCACGGTGGCGGGTGCTGCCGGCAGAAGTGTGGGCCCTGCAGTCGTGTCTCTATGGCTGAGGAGCCCCAAAGACCGAGGTCTGTCTGAACCCTCCCCCGTGGAGGAGCTGGAGCCAGCAGGCTGGGCCGGTAGAAGCTGGGCTGTCCTCAGAGCTCTCAGGTGGGGCCAGGTCACGGGGCGTCCCTCTGCCAGCGACAGGTCTTGCTGGGACTGTTAGGGTTGGCTGGACATTGAAAACACCTCTGCTCAGGCCCAAGAAAATGGCCGGTGGAGGCAGGTTGGGGCAGGGGTATCAGGAGGCAGATTCTGGCACAGCCTGTGGTGGGCTGACTTGGGGGTGGGAGTTACTCCTCCAGCCACTCTGACATCTGGCTGCATGCTACTCCCAGATGCAAAGGCTACTCCTCGTGGCCTCGGGGTTTCCTGTCTCTCACCCTCCTGAGGAAGTGACTAGCAAGTCTCCACCTCGGTCCCTCGGCAGGCCTTGCACAGCACTGACAAGTCAGCCTCCAGAAGGGGAGCCGGGGAGCCGCGGAGGAGGACTGCCCTGTCTGTGCCAGCTTGCCATGTGCCAGTCTGGAGGGCAGAGTGAAGTGTGCAGGCTTTTTGTGCCCGTGCCCTTGCTGCCTCTCTGTCACGCTCCCTGCCTGGTGGAGATCTCGGTTCTCTGCTGGAACTCGGAAGGCTACGCAGACTGTCCCCACACTGGCGGCAGAGAGGCTGAGCATCAGGCCCTCGGTGGCCACTGTCAGAAGTGCTGCCTGGCAGCATCCCACCTGGGGACAGGGGACCAGGGCACGTATATACCTTCTAGTGACTTTCCTCCTGAGTGGGGTCTCAGAACCTGCCAGTAGTACCGTAGGCTTTGGCCTGTGCCCTGCCCGCGTGGGCTGTTCCTCCTTCCTCTCGCCCTGCCAAGGACTCGGTGTGTTCCCACTGCCACACAGGGCCTGGCGGCTTTGGGGGCTCTTCTGGGAGGAACATTAGAACCCCTTAGGAGGGTGGGCTGACCCGCGTTAGCCCGCTTTCCAGAGCAGGTGCTTGAGTCCCAGCCTTCCCCAAAGACCCTTCCAAGAGGCTCAAAGCACCCCTAAGAAGGAGTGGGGGGAGGCGTTCTTATCCTCTCCAGTGACACCAGTGCCCAGGCAGAAACTGGTAGGTCCAGGGACTTGCCCTTCTCCCCGTCTGCCTTGGGGGGGGTGGGGGGACACCAGCTCTGCCACCCTTAGACACCACCTCGGAACCACGCCTGGGGCTGCCGGGCGGGCAGTGTGGCAGCCACCTTGTTGGCCTTCTCGGGCTGGAGGTGCCTCCGCTGGGGGAGGAAGGCTCTCCAGCCTTTAGAGCCTCCTTCTGATGGTAGAGGGCCCAATCCAGTCCCCGGGGAGCGTGGGCCCTGCACGGGGAAGGGAGCACCTAAGGTGCTTCTGAGAGGAGTCCGAGTGGTGCGGGCAGTCAGCTTCCTGGGCAAGAGCAGGGCACGAGCCAAGTCCAAACCCAGAGTGACCTGTCATCTTCCCTCTGACCCCAGGCAACTGGCCCTGAAGGCCCTCAACGAACGACTGAAGAGAGTGGAGGACCAGTCCATCTGGCCGAGCATGGATGACGATGAAGAGGAGGCTGGGGCCAAGGTGGACAGCCCTCTGCCCTCAGACAAGGTCCCCACCCTCCCAGGGAAGGGGGCTGCCCCAGAATCCAGCCTGATCACCTTTGAGGCAGCTCCCCCGAAGCTGTAACTCCAGACCACCTTGAGTGTAGCACCTCCTCTCCCACATCCCCGACCCCTCCTCAGCTGCTCTGAGGAGAGGGAGGATGGTCTCCGGGGGTCTCCACAGCCTTCTGCTATTTCTCGCCAACACTACCCAGGACTCTTGCTACCTGGTTACAACTCCAGACAACCACTAAGTCAGGCATCCGCCAGCCGAGGCTGTCTGAGGTAAGACTGCACCTCGGCGGGTCGCCCCAAGCAAGTGGCAGTAGGGACACTGGTGCCGCAGCTTCCGGGCCAACCCTCACACCTGATACTGTGGCCGAGAGCCCTGAGCCAAGGCAAGGATTTGCCAAAAACATCCTGGGGGGTCCAGCCAGCGTAGGAGCCAGCACAGGGCTGTGCCTCCCTGCCCACCCCCAGAAGGACTGTATTCACCTCGAGATTTCCGGTTCCCTCTGCTGTGGCCACGGCTGCTGCTAGGCCAGAGCGGCCACAGCTCCCTGGCGTTTTCTACGGGGCCACTGAGCGGGCGGCTGGCCCAGCGCGCAGTGTCAATAAAGCAGTTCTTTGAGGTATGACTCCTGGGCTGTTGGACCACCTCGTGCAGCCCCTCCTCGTGCTCAACTGCAAAGTCAGGGACTTTACTCCAGGGCCAAGGGCTCAGTCCCCATGGCAACTCCAGCTGGAGAAGAGGCCCATTGCCCCCCTCTCCCTTCCCCAACCACATGCCCACTGTCACCTCACACCCTTACTCATGTTCTTTCTCCCTCCTGTCCCCATGCAGAGGCCCTGCCCAGGGGATCTGAGGACTGAGGGCTTCTCTATCCTCAGGAATTCTTATCCAGGGCTCACCTCCAGGACCAGTGCTCAGTGCTTGACACCTAGGAGCCAGCCATCCCGCTCCCATCTTGTCATTGCCCAGCACAGTGGGCAGCTGGGGGGCTGAAAGGACACGGCCCGAGGGCTTTCTAGGGCCTTGGGTAACATGGGCCGCTGGGCAGCCAGATCCTGGGGCTTGTGCACTGGGAGAGTGTCGGTTCCGCAGTGAGCAGCCAGGAGCAGGGTCCCGTGGCGCCCAGCGCCCCCTTTTTCATCCTGATGGTCTTAGTGAGAACTATCCCCAACTCTGGGCTATTCTCCCCATCCAGTCGTTCCTGTCTTTTTTAATTTTTATTTTAATTTTTTTGTCCTGTAATTTCTGGACATACCAATACAAGTATGAGCTGAGTTGCTGGGGAGGCAATCTTGCAACCCCAGTTTCATCCAAACCCACAATCCGTGAGCTCCTCTGGGATGGTAGAGAGAGGGGGGAGGAGGAGCACTCCAGTGTGAGGAGCAAGCACAAATGCCACACACAGGACTCCGACGCTGAGTGCCCAGGGCCTGAGGTGTCCCTGTGACCTAGACAGTCGAGAGAGTCCACAATGTCCCAGCGCCAGCTCCTACATGAGGGGCAAGTCCAGGCTTCGAGGCTGCGAAGAGCTCACGGCTGAATCCTTTTGCGGTAAAGGTAGGCATTGCTCACCTGGTTCATGATGACCAAGCTGGTGACAACAGGGCAGAGCACAGCCAGGTACCAGACTCCACCAGTGACTGTGGCAGTGAACCAGAGTGAGCACATGCCCAGCAAGAGGCTGGCACTGCCCAGAAGGTAGCCCACTAGCCCAGAAGTGGCATGGTACAGCTTGAGCTTGGACAGGGGCCATCGGGGCAGCAGTTTGGGGTAGAGGAGCCCCACCCCACCTGAGCACTGCAGCCCTGCCCACAGCACAGCGAGCAGCCCTGCCCGCCCATGCCAGGTGGCCAGGTGGGCTTTGCCAAGCTGTTCCTTGTGGAGGATGACCAGGCCCAAGCCCAGCAGCGCACACAGCAGGGCCAGCAGCTGTAGCACCCAGTGGCAGCGGGCTCGGCCTTTCCGCGAGAGGGAGCGCAGCAGCGAGCTCTCAGGAGAGAACACCAGCAGGGCCTCCGTCATCAGGAAAGAGAACTGGGGAGACCGCATGGGAAACGAAGTGAGGGTGCTGCCCAGCAGAAGGGAAGAAAGGTTTAGGTAACCTAAGCTGCCAGTCAGCCAGATTCCCCTCCATTCTCTCCCCGCCGACAGGAGTGTCCCTGGGTGGGCAGGAACGGAGAACTCCCTCTGGGACAGAACATCTGCAAGAGGAACCCGCGAGAGGTGCCCCCCGTAGTCCTCGGGTGCTGTTCTGAAATGACATCTCTTTCCCAGCAAACACAAGGTTTGAGACGTGGCACTTATAAATGATTCACAAGCTTTGTTTCCCTGACACAGGGCGGGATACAATTTCTTGGCAGAGCTGGCCAAGCAGGTGCAGTGTGTCAGGGAAAACGGGGTGCGTCACTGTAAGTTAAGGGAAAAGGGGCAGAAGTAACTCCAAGTGCATTTTCTAAGCTTCCTGTCTGGAGGTGGGTGCACCTCATTTTGTGCTCAGACAAGCCCTACCCATTTGCCCTGGGTCTTGAGTACTCTGGTTCCAGCCTGGGATCTGTGTGCCACGGGCAGACTCCAACATTCCACGTTATCCCCCCAGATGTAAGTGACCATAAGGAGGCCACTAGGGCCACCACCCCTCCCTGTGCTCCCTCCCACCCCTATGAGCTGGCCCGGCCCACTACTTACAGCCAGAGACATGAGCACGGGGTGCCAGGAGAACAGACCTGGAAGAGAAGAGGAGGCCTGTAAGGCGGGGGAAGAGCCCGGCCGCAACAATAACTGCAGGCTGAGGCCCAAGGGAGCGCTGCCAAATGCGAGCCCCCTCTGCACCAAGCTGACCCCATACCTATCCTCTTCCTGGTCCCTCCGGATCAGAGGCCATGCTTTGCCACTCCTCTGGCAGTCCTCCCTCCTGCCCACTGCACTTTGCAAGAGACAGCCAAGTGGAGCACCAAGGCAAGGAAAGAGAGCCGGGTACTCGGGCCGGCCAAGCTGGCAGAGCCCCCACACTCATCTACTCCACCCACTTATCCCTCCAGCATTGCACGCACGGCTCTCAGCCACCCATGCCTCTCCCAGGAGTCAGGCCTGAGGTTTCCCATTGCCCCTGCTCCCCAGGACAAGTGGCCCTTTCCCCCCAGAAGTTAATTATAAATTACACTTACTGGAGCCAGGCCTGGCAAGCACTGCCACAAAGATGGTAAAGCCCAAGGCCACAAGATGGGCAGCAGCCCCAGAGGCAGTGCGTAGAGCTCGGTAGATGTGCGACTCGGTCTCCACAGAAAGAGCCATGGTCAACCAGGCCAGCGGCTGTAGCCTGAAAGCATAGGAGCGTAAGCAAGGGTCGCGGATGCCGCGGTCCACTCCTCTCGCTGGAGCAAGTGTTGCAGGGCAGGGATGCCACCCTCCTCCAAGAACCGAAGGTAGAAAGACGGGCACCAGCAATAGTCAAGGACCGGCGCCTGTCAGCATGTACCTGCATCTGAACTGGCACTGATAACTGGCCCACCTTCCAGGTAGGAAGCGCAAAGCCGTGTAACAGACTACAAATCCCAGAGTGCACCATGCCGTCACCGGGCGGGAGCGCCAGCTAATAGGGCAAGAAGCACTACGGGAATTGTAGTCCCCAGCTGCGACCAAATTGCAGCCTGAATCCCTTCCCGCGCAGCTTCCTCACGTGCCGCAGACATGCAGCCCCTCCACGCTAGGAATTCGCCTGCCTCACCCGCAGCGCCGATCGGACGCGGTGGTTTTCTCCTGAGAAAGCGGGATACTCTGGACCCTGCCGCGCGAGCCGCCACCCCGTAGCGGAGCCGCTTCACTTCCGGGTGTGACGACTACCCACCGGGACTTCCTGGACCAACCTTCTCCGTAGCCACGCCTCTAAGCTGTTCTGCGCATGCGCTGTTGAGCAGCCGTCTTCATGGGTGCGAGCACGCAGGCGTGCTGGACCCAGCGGACAAGGCCTTGGAGCTGGTGTTCCCGAGGACTCGGTCCCGTTAGCGCCATGAGCAGCGGCTGCCGCATCGAATGCATATTTTTCAGCGAGTTCCATCCCACGCTGGGACCCAAGATCACCTATCAGGTGCCATTGGGCTCGCGGGCTTGGTGGGGAAATAGGGGCGCTCTCCAGAGCTCAGTCCGCTGTCTGGAGGCGGCGGATGCCTGTCCCCGCGCTGCACGCAGGCCCGCTCCTGCTTCATTCGCCGAGAATCGTGAACCGAGAGGGTGCTCAGACCCAGGTCCCAGCCTCCCGGCGAGAGGGCGCAGACAAACCACATAGGCAGTGATGGTGGGAAGCAGGCTGCGGGGACCCAGCAGAGCTGCCAGGTCCCACGGGAGGTGGAGGTGGGTGGTTCATTAGTTTCCCTGGCTGCATAGGGATGTAGGTGACCGAGGAGAGTGGGCCAGACAGAGGGAACAGCATGTGCAAAAGCCAGGAGGCAAGTGAGAACATAGCGTGTGCTTGTAAACAAGGGAGTAGCAGGCCTGGGTGGATGGGAAAGTCAGTGCGTTGCGCTCGGCAGATGTGCGACTCGGTCTCCACAGAAAGAGCCCTGGCCAACCAGCTGAAGAGGGCTTAGGTTTGGGGGATTTCCCGTTTACTCGGCCTCGTACCGAGGTCCACTGTTGAGTCCTTTGCCACTTCCCTTCCCAGGTTCCTGAGGACTTCATCTCCCGGGAGCTGTTTGACACGGTCCAGGTGTACATCATCACCAAGCCAGAGCTGCAGAACAAGCTCATCACTGTGTGAGGCCCTAGCTGGGGGTCCCGGGAGGAGCAGGCAGGCTTGGGAGGGGGAGAAGCCTGACTCTGGCCCCACCTCCCCCCTGTCCAGCACAGCCATGGAGAAGAAACTGATTGGCTGCCCTGTGTGCATCGAGCACAAGAAATACAGCCGCAATGCCCTGCTCTTCAACCTGGGCTTTGTGTGTGACGCCCAGGCCAAGACCTGTGCCCTTGAGCCCATCGTCAAAAAGCTGGCTGGCTACCTGACCACGCTGGAGGTCTGCAACACCTTGGGCTTGGGTGGACGGGCAGGCAGAGTTGGGGAAGGTATTCACATGACTCCAAAGCCCTCCAGACCTAGGACCCTGCCAGGGCAGGATGCCTGGGGGGTGCCCACCATGCTGTCCGTGCTCCATCCAGCTGGAGAGCAGCTTCGTGTCATCGGAGGAGAGCAAGCAGAAGTTGGTGCCCATCATGACCATTTTGCTGGAGGAGCTCAATGCCTCAGGCCGGTGTACTCTGCCCATCGGTATGGCCCAGCCTCTGCAAGGACAGCGGAGGGGGGAGGAGGGATGGGAAAGTGACAGGGGAAGGTGAGCCCAGCCAAGGACAAGACTCATGAACAAATTCGTGGCCAGGCAATAGCCATGAGCTGAGTTGATGATGTGCAGGGTCCTGTGCATGACCGGGCTGGGGCTGGGGCTGGGGCGGCCAGCAGAGCTCCAGCTGTCCGATGGGCATGCTCCTTCCCCTCTCTGGACCTCCGTCTCTCGCTTTATAAAAGGGGAAGATTGGCCCCACCCAGAGCCACCTGCCTGCCTCAGGGTTGCTGGAGGGTGATGGAGGGCCTCTTGGAAGAGGGGGCGCTGAGAATATGGGTGGGACCCCTGCAGATGAGTCCAACACCATCCACTTGAAGGTGATTGAGCAGCGGCCGGACCCCCCTGTGGTTCAGGAGTATGATGTGCCTGTCTTCACCAAGGACAAGGAGGATTTCTTCAGCTCCCAGTGGGACCTCACCACACAGCAGGTGTGCCAGCCCTCCCTGGGGGTCACCAGCCGAGGCTGGCCTCCTCCTTGGCCTCACCCCACCCCTACTGCCTGCCTGCCCTGCCCAGATCCTGCCCTACATTGATGGCTTCCGCCACGTGCAGAAGATCTCGGCCGAGGCAGATGTGGAGCTCAACCTGGTGCGCATCGCCATCCAGAACCTGCTGTGAGTGGGGCAGTCACATCAGGAGAGCGCTGTCCGCGGGGCCTGGGGCTGGGGCTGGGTGTGACCCCCCGAAGCTGAGCACAGCTCTTCTCCCAGGTACTACGGCGTGGTGACCCTGGCGTCCATCCTCCAGGTAGGGGAGTCTGGGTCTGGTTATGCGGGGCGTGGATCATTGGCTGGGCCACACTGGGGCCGTCAGACTTCCAAGCCCCTCGCTCAGGCTCCTGTGCCTCCTGCCACACCCCCTCCAGTACTCCAACGTGTACTGCCCCACGCCCAAGGTCCAGGACCTGGTGGATGACAAGTCCCTGCAAGAGGAGTGTCTATCCTACGTGACCAAACAAGGTAATGGTGGGCTCTGGGGAGGCCACCTCGGGAAGGGCAGGGCAGGGCCACCTGGAGAGCTGACTGCGGGCCCCCACAGGGCACAAGAGGGCCAGTCTCCGGGATGTGTTCCAGCTGTACTGCAGCCTGAGCCCCGGCACTACCGTGAGGGACCTCATTGGCCGCCACCCCCAGCAGCTGCAGCGTGTTGATGAACGGTCAGAGGGGATCCCCTGGGGCATGAGGGGTTTGCCTGAAGGCAGACACACCCTCTCTCTCTTGGGAGCCCTGGGTTAGAGAGGAAGCAAGAGATTCCCAGTGAGAGAATCATGAGGCACTGCTAGTCCAGGCAGGCTTCCTGGAGGTGGTGGGTTTGGAAGCCAGTCTGCTCACTAAGACAGCACTGAGGGGAGACTGCAGGAAAAGGTTGGCCTGGTGGAAGAAGGCCTGGCCAGGCATCACCCCTCTCCCTCGACCCGCACCCCAGGAAGCTGATCCAGTTCGGGCTTATGAAGAACCTCATCCGGAGACTACAGAAGTACCCGGTGCGGGTGTCTCGGGAGGAGCGGAGCCACCCTGCCCGCCTTTACACAGGCTGCCATAGCTACGACGAGATCTGCTGCAAGACAGGTGGAGGCAGGCGGGGTGCTGGGGTGGGGTCAGGCGGGGTAGCCAAGCCCAGGGTGCTGACCTCCCCTCCGCCACCCAGGCATGAGCTACCAGGAGCTGGATGAACGGCTGGAGAATGACCCCAACATCATCATCTGCTGGAAGTGAGGCTGGAGGGGGCTGGACGCAGCTGCCGCCACTCTCTCCTGCCAAGCCCTGCCTGGTGCCCGAGGACTAGACCCACAGCCTCGTCTCTCCTGTCTCGATGTTGACCCCCCACCTTCTGTAAATAAAGTCACCCCTTTCACCCTACCTTTACTGGATAGCACCTCTGAGCCGGCCACAGGGAACCCACAGTGAGAGAAAGAGCCATGGTCCTGGCGCCCTGGAGCGCCACCTGGCGGGCAGAGCCGACAATGGACAAGCAAATGTGTCCCCTATTTAAAAACTAAAACAATCAGGAAGTTGTGATAAAGAGAGTGAGTTGGGCCGGGCTGGCGTGGCCCAGTGGATAGAGCGTCAGCCTGCGGACTGAAGGGTCCCGGGTTCCATTCGGGTCAAGGGCACATGCCCGTTTCGGGCTCGATCCCCCGTGCAGGAGGCAGCGATCCATGCTTCTCTCTCATTGATGTTTCTGTCTCTCCCTCTCCCTCCCTGAAATCAATGTAAAAGAAAAGAGAGAGAGTTGGGATGAGCGGGGGCTGCTCTGGATTATTTGGGCCAGGAAGGCCCTGATGGGCGACCTACCAGCCCTTAAGGAGGAAGAGGATTCCACGCAGAGGGAAGAGCTGCGGAAACCCCGAGGCCAGAACCACCCAGGGAGGGATGGGGAGGCCCGTGGAGCCGGAACCTGGAGGCAGGGGGAGCGGGACGGGAAACAACGTCCCGGAAAAGGAGAGGGAGCAGCGCCTGATGCCGCGAGCGCTGGCGAGCCGCTTTGGACGTGGTGTTCCGAGCGCCAGAGGCAGCCATGGAGGCGCCCTTCCGCAACGTCTCCTGTGCACCTTGCAAAGCCCAGTGAAAAGGCTCAGCGGTGGCCACGCGAGGCGGTGCAGCCTGGAGTCAGACGGAGGAAAGTGGGGGGCCCTGCACAGAATTGAGGAGTCCAGCCGAGAGGGCGATCTGGGTGTGAGCTGCGGGGCAGCTGCGCGAGGCCGGGACCGGGGCGGGCCGACTGGGCATCGGTACGCGGAGAGGCCTAGGCCCCGGGGTCTGGCACTCGGGAAGCCGGTGCTCCGCAGCCCGTGGTCGGGAGAAAGCTCGGGAAGTCCGAATAGGGCTGCTGCCCGCCTCGCAGCAGGGGCGGCGGGCGGAGGCGGAGGCGGGGCCCAGGCCACACTGCGCAGACTCGAGCTAGCCGTTTCCATGGCGACGAGGCCCAAGCTTCTCAACTGCTTCACAACTGTCGAGTCCCAGACTTGGGCCTCACCAGACCCCCGATCCTGTGGGTAACCGCACCTCAGCGCCAGCTGCCGCCCGGGGTCAGCTGAACCCCACCTTTTCCGGCCCCGACATGAGCGACCTGGAGCTGCTGCTGCCGGGGGAGGCTGATATGTTGGTGCGGGGACTTCGCAGCTTCCCGCTGCTCGAGATGGGCTCCGGAAGGTGAGGCAGCTGAGCCCGGGTCAGGCGGAGGCATGGGGTCAGAGCCCTGGAGTGGAGGGAGTTCCGACATTGGAGAGAGGGGTTGCCCAGTGTGGAGGGGCCCCCAGGGGTACAGGGTCTTGAGCCCTCTCTGACCCCTCAGGATCAGGTTAGCTTCAGTGGGCTCAGTCCCCACCCCACTCCTACTGCACACATGTGCACCCAAACACACACACATACACACACACACACACACACACACACCCTCCGGGGCAGGTGGAACCAGCAGCATGAACACCTGGAGAAGCTGAACATGCAGGCCATCCTCGATGCCACGGCCAGCCAGGGCGAGCCCATCCAGGAGCTGCTGGTCACCCATGGGAAGGTATGCTGGGGGCAGGGCAGGGTTTCTGCCTTCCCCCACCCGCCCCGCCACTCTACCCCTCAGGAGCACGCTGGTGTCCGTCTTCCCTCCAGCTGGCACCCCTGTCCTCCCCAAAGGAGGAGGAGGAGGGCATCACGCACTTGACTTGCACCCCTGTCCTGCTGGACACGGCCCTGCCATGCCAGGCGGGTGCAGTGTGGGTTGACTAGGGAGGTAGTCATGGATCCTAGAACAGCCTCGCCTGTAGAGGAAGGGCCCAAGTTCTAGGGACACGAACCAGGAGCATGGCCCCAGGAGATGACCTGAGATGTCACCTGACAAAAGGGTTCCTCTGCAGGAAAAGGCGCAGCCCCTGGTGCGAGGTGGGGTGGGAAGGGGGCGCTCTGAAGGGCCCTGGCTAAGGGTGAGGCCCAGGCACACAAGAGCCTTGGAAGGCCAGAGGACAGGGACAAGGGGAGGGCATGAGCAGGAGGGCGGGCCTAGGAGACACCCGAATGGGGGAGGGGGGACGAAGGCACATACATGTACAGGGAACAAGGCAAGGACCAGTCACAGGAAGCATGGGGGATGTCCCCACAGAGATGTCAAGGGCAGCTGGAAATGAAGGTCAAGGTGAGGAGAGAGGTCAGGAGGGAACTCGTGGGGCATAGGAGGGTCTGGGGCCCAGGGGAGTCTGAAGAGAGCTGGGCTAGGCCAGGCCAGGGATGGGAGGGTTGCTAGGCCAAGGTCGGCGCCTCGTCCCTGTCCTTGCCCCTCCCCTCAAAGATCCCGACGCTGGTGGGGGAGCTGATTGCCGTGGAGATGTGGAAGCAGAAGGTGTTCCCTGTGCTGTGCAAACTGGAGGACTTCAAGCCCCAGAACACCTTCCCCATCTACATGGTGGTGAGCTGGCCCGGTCCGCGCTCCCCCGCCCCCTCCCGTCAGCTGGTAGCCCCTCCCCTTGGTCAGCAGCCTGCACCTGTCCTGTGTGTCTGCAGCTGCACCACGAGGCTTCCATCATCAATCTCCTGGAGACCGTGTTCTTCCACAAGGTGAGGCGCCGCCCCGCCCACTGGCTCCTGCCCCCGGCCAGGGCCTCGATCGTGTCTGGGAGGAGCCATCAGAGAGAATGCCCCCCCCCCCGCCCCCAGGAGGTGTGTGAGTCAGCAGAGGACACCGTCTTGGACCTGGTGGACTACTGCCACCGCAAACTGACTCTGTTGGTGGCCCAGAGCGGCCGCGGTGAGCCCCCGGAGGAGGAGGCCGAGGACGTCTCTCCCATGAAGGTGGGCTGAGGTTCCCGGGGCTGGAGGAGCTAGACCCCGCGCCCCGGGCCTAAGCGCCGTGTGCCCCCCAGGAGCTGCAGACGCAGGCCGAGCTGATGGAATTTGAGATCGCACTGAAGGCGCTCTCCGTGCTCCGCTACGTCACTGACTGCGTGGACAGGTGGGCTGCCCTGCGGCCTCAGGCCTCGGTGCAGGGCAGGAGCCTGGACCTGTCACCTCTACTCACCTCTCCCCTCCCCCCCCCAGCCTGTCCCTGAGCACCCTGAGCCGCATGCTGAGCACCCACAACCTGCCCTGCCTCCTGGTGGAACTGCTGGAGCACAGTCCCTGGAGCCGGAGGGAGGGAGGTACGGTCCTCCTCCACCTGCCGAAGCCCCAGCTCGGAGCTTCCAGGGTGTCCTCCAGGATTGTGGGTGGGCAGCATGCACACAGGTAGGCGGGCTGTGTCCCTGGCCCACAGAGGGCGTCAGGATGGCTGACCCAGAAGTGGGCCTAGACCCAGGCTCTGCAGCAGGCAGGGCCCACGTGTCCACTACCAAGGACTCATTCCACTCGGGAGCGCTCAGTCCCCTGCCCACGCAGCTGCTCATTCACAGAGCATGCGCTGCCTGCACCCAGAATGCTGCTTCCTCTCCCAGGCAAGCTGCAGCAATTTGAGGGGGGCCGTTGGCAGACAGTGGCCCCCTCAGAGCAGCAAAAGATGAGCAAGTTGGACGGGCAGGTGTGGATCGCCCTGTACAACCTGCTGCTGAGCCCTGAGGCCCGGGCCCGCTACTGCCTCACAAGCTTCGCCAAAGGACAGCTGCTGAAGGTGGGGAACCTCTCCCATGCACCCCACAGCCCCAGCACTGAGCCTACCCCATCCCCGCTGTTCGGTCTTTGCCCACCCACCTCAGCCCCAGTCCTGTTCCCAGAACTTGGGCCTCAGGTAATAGCAACTAGTGGGACATGGGCCCGAAGGCACCCTCAGCCCAGCCCAGGCCGTCCCTGTTCCTGGACCCGCTGGTCAGCACCATGTCACACTGACCTCCCCTGGCCCCTGCAGCTTCAGGCCTTCCTCACAGACACTCTGATCGACCAGCTGCCCCACCTGGCGGACCTGCAGGGCTTCCTGGCCCACCTAGCCCTGGCTGAGCCCCAGCCCCCCAAGAAGGACCTGGTGTTCGAGCAGGTAGGCACTGGGAGCGCGAGCTCAGGACCCCCGACCGCTGCCTGCCCCTCCCTGCCACTCCCCACTTCTCCCCCCAGATCCCGGAAATCTGGGAGCGGCTGGAGCGAGAGAACAAAGGCAAGTGGAAGGCCATGGCCAAGCACCAGCTGCAGCACGTGTTCAGCCCCTCGGAGCAGGACCTCCGGCTGCAGGCGCAGAGGTGGGGCTGCAGGGCGGCAGCGTGGGAGGGACGCAGAGGCATGGAGGGGGTCGGGGTGCTCCTGTGCCCCCCCACCACCATCAGGCCAGCCAGGCCTCCTGACGCTCCTCCCAGGTGGGCTGAGACCTACAGGCTGGATGTGCTGGAGGCAGTGGCTCCGGAGCGGCCCCGCTGTGCCTACTGCAGCGCAGAGGCCTCCAAACGCTGCTCGCGCTGCCAAAATGAGTGGTATTGTTGCAGGTGAGGGCACCCTAGGACGTGGGCCCCTACGCCCCTCTCCACACCCACCCCACTCTGCCTCCTCACGGGCCCACTTGCCTGCAGGGAGTGCCAAGTCAAGCACTGGGAGAAGCACCGGAAGGCTTGCCTCCCGGTCGCCCAGGGTGGCAGAGTGAAGTGAAGCGCAGCTGCTGAGCGCCCCCCAGGGCCATGCATCCAGCCGGAGGTGCGCCTGGGCCTCGGGATCGCAGCCTGGGCTCTGCCAGCGCCCGGGCCCCGGGGTGAGGAGAGAGGCAGC